TGAGTAAATGACCAAATAATGAGTTACGCAACCCGGTTGTCACGGTATACATTCATATATAATCACCCCCTGTTTTTCTTCAGAAGAGATTAGCTAGAAATGGAAGCGATAAATAGGTCATTCCGGGTTAAAAATAATCTTGTGAAGTGGATTATTAAAAGAAGTTCCACAATAGGATAACTATTTTGGAAAACGATCGGTAATGTTAAATTGATACAATTTTTCGCTTTCATATTGGCAGAATGCAAACCCTTCCATTACCCAGAGAAATGTGTATATGTGTGCTTTCATCCGAATATACAAGATAAAGATTTACTCATACTAATTTAAGTACCGCAGTACCTCGCCAGACACACTACTAAAACGGTTCCTTCCATATTACATTAGATTCGCATAATATTCAACGATTCGCTGAATGTTGGCAGATTTGAAATTAGCTAATAATGAGAAAATAGGATTAAATTTCAAGATAGGAAATCTTTGTATTTTGACCCCCAAATGTCGACTATGTCATGGGAAACGTATATTTAATTGATCTTTGATATAGTTTTAGAGCCGAAGATTTTATTTATATCCGACAGTCAATATACTTAACTACTTTTTCCGGAATAAACAACTTTTTTCTCTCAAACGTTTTTCATTACGTAATTCATCTAAATATAGTATTCTACATAATTAAATTTATTCCATTTTGACACAAATTTTTTCCAAAAGAATAAATAAAACATATGCTGCACATGTGTTGAGCCAGTCAACCCCTGTCCAATTTCACACCGAAGGCCTACGTTCTCTATTTCACAAAATTTTTGACTAAAATTGACATATGAAGTGTATCGGTAATTAATCATTCTCCTGTAAGAAACCGCCGGTATATGATGTTAAATAACTCTTGGGAATATGTAAGTATGTTTTCATGCTCCAATGCATAAACCAGATGGAAAATGAAATGATACATATGAAATATTTCAAATCGTTGCCATTCATTCGAACAAAAATCGTACCGAAATTTAACAAGAAATTACCAATACTGCTGAATATTATCAAGAAATGATATATAAAGTCATTGGGCTCGAATTCAAGTTTATCCTTCGATTCAAAAAATTGAGAAATCTCAAATTACAATTATACTAAACCGTCCATGACATAACACTGCTTATATACACGAAGCCTCCAGCTCAAATCATCGTTTGGTTCCAATGTCAAAAAATATCTTCTAAAATTTTTTTAATATGCACATTAGCATTTGATATTTTCATGGATGTTTTATAAATTTAATTTTCATAATTCATTTTTACATTATTCTGTAATATTTGTACTTTTAAAACGGCATCCTTTGTATACAATGAATAAACTTAGAAATCTGAAAACTTATATAGTTCAGCAAGTATTACATCGAGTGTTGAGTAATTTACCGTAGAGTTCGAAACGCAACGCTTGACCTACATGACAAGAGTCCGGGATTTGTTTTCTGCTTCATTGAAAATTTGATTTTTTAGCAGACACTGTACATTAGCTACAAAACCAATGCGATTACAGCCAGGTTATATATTTTATGTACATTCAGCTGGTAATAGAATCAATGAAGCACGATGCGAACGACTGTGCTCTATGTGCCTTGTTGCGATAGACAAATCTTGATTTATATTATCACTGATAACTAACTATTAGGTATACATTTGCATAGTCAGCTTCCTCCTATCTCCTGTGGGGGTGAGCATAGACAAGTATCATTTAGAGATGTCTTAAGAAAAATCCTTTCCTTATGAATTCGAGTTTTGAAACTAGTTTTGTTCCATGTCTGTCAAATGTTTTTAGCATGTTTAGCAGATGTCTTGGGAAACAGGAAATATTCCTGAAAGACTATACAACTCTAAATAAAATTCCCCGTTGACTAAAACCAACAACTGCGCTGCCAATAATAGAAAATAAATTTGAGTTCATTTCCCCAAAGTATAGTATTACAATAAATCAATTTCGATTTTGTTTCCCAAACAACTCCATTTTCGGACCCAATACTTTCATTTGAACAGAAGAGATTTTAATTTTACGGCCAATTACGGTCGTACTGACATTTTTATATGACAATAAAATTCACTATTAACCACGTACATTTTACTACACTCTGCAAAATGCTCGGTTAAAATGAATTTCTAAATGTTTTCTCTCGGATGCTTGAAAAAAAAAGTGCATATTCAGGCTCGGAAGTTTTGTGACAGTTGGACCTGTTTCACCCAAGAATAGACATATTCAGTAGAAACTAATACAGAAGTTTTATACATTCTAGCCGTTGTTTGTACAAATTCAAATTTAGAGGAAGTATTTTCAACTTTCATGCCATTTCATCTTTGATGCTATTTTTTTTTTACTTAGCCGAGTACGGCCACCGATAAATTGTGCCGTCAAAGTGCGGTTTATATCCACGGCCATATTTGGCCTAAATATTTTAGACTATGTGTAATGAACGAAAGTTAAACTGTGTTATCTCAACCTGCTAATGTACCGTGATGCTTTTGTGAAGACGGAGAAGTCATTAAAGTCATTAATCTCAATTATTGTAAGAATTAGTGAGGTTCAGACGATCTTGTTTCACTCCTACTTTTGAGTAAAGTGTGCTTTGTCTGGGGCAAATCCGTCTACAGCACGATAATTCTGATAGGGCTTTATTTGGATTTGAACGCAGAAATTTTGAATGTAAAAGGACATATTATTGTAAACTTTTCACATTGCTAATGCTAATCCAGAAGAAAGAATTGTTTATCGTTGTCCGCCAAAAAACGAACTAATCTAGACACGATTCACCACTGAGATACACAATACATACTCTTTTCCTGATATCTACATGTACGACTTTAATAAATGATTGGACTATACAAACATTTCTGATACAGATCACTAGATATTTCAGATAACATTGACGTAAATGTAAAGCAGGTCTAGTCAAGCTTAAACCTCAATTTATTATCTTCCATAACTTCGGTTTGAAATTCATGAATCAATACTAATTAAAATAGGCAACATAGATTACAATATCGCAGAAAGTAAGTCTGATGTAGGGTTAGGAATGCATATGAATTGTGATGAGTATCAATTCTTCATGTCTAGCATGTACAAAAGGAATTTACACTCAGTACTGGAACGAATTTATGACCTTCTTCCGCCTTGGGTACTTATGTTATCTAGAATTGCAATGTCAGGAATTGACTGACCTTTAAATATAAGAGTGGTGAACTAATGGAGTTGTTCTGAAACGAAATATTTTAAACGAATACTACTGAACTATTTGTAAATTCATAAACGATTGGGATAGATTAAACCATTAACGCCACTTTCATAAGCAAAAAAATTGGGGGAAAATAAAAAGACATCACTTTCATTTAATTTAATTAATTTTATCAGAAAATCTTACTTGAGAACAATTCCCATTTGCACCATAACGCTTGAACATGATTTTGCATTTTTTCTTCAGAAAAAAAAAATAAAATGAATAGTTGTCTTATTGAAAATATGAATAGAAATATTTATTTGTACCTGTAATTCGTTAATGATTGAAAGTTTGATCCAATGTGCATCCCCAATTCATTTTAACACAAAGGGAAAATACCAAGCTTCCACATGCATCAATGCTGACGCACTTGTTATCAAACAAATAGCTCAAGTAATAAACATGTTTTTATTTTTAGCAACTGAGATTAGTCATAAAAACAAGTCTGCACGAGTTTTTAGTTAGTCCGAAGAGAACTGTTGAGAAAAAAAAAATTGCGGCTTGGTTAATAGGCTGCTGTTCTTGACAAACATTCTGAATACAAGTTGAGTACAATTGGACTCGACTCAAGCTCCTGAATCCAGAAAATACAATTGGGAATATCAGAAAGTGCGATTCCAATTTTCGTATCCGGACAAATTATAATTTTGACTCCAATTCCATAATGTTTAAAAACAAAATCCGGATTATTACAAACAATACTAGCAAAAAGGTTAGGCGCCCCTACTTCCCATCCTTGCGGTCGCATACACAGTTCAGATATTAGATGATCCACTCTATTTAAAAAAAAGCTTGGGAGTCTTATATATCAAGTTAATAAATAGAATTATTAATCCGCTATCCGTGACTCTCTCTTATCATCATGGAAAAATGAAAAAATATATTAGAATAAACAAGACAAATTATAGTTTGATTTTTCCCGGAACAGAAGAAATAAAAAAGTACTCACGAGAGGGATTTAATAATGTAGAGGTTAACATGTTGGACATATAATAAACAGGATGGTAAGCTTGATAAATAAACAAAATAAACTGCACAAAATACAATTAGAAAAAGAATTATCAGGGAAAATGTAATAACAAAACGTTTTTCCTCGATTTGAAAAAATATAGATTTTTTTCAAAAATAGTCTGTATATTCAATTTATGTCGTAAGTGCATTGTGTCTACTCGAGAGAAAGTAATTGATTTCGCCATTGCTAATCTGTCTTCCAGAAATTGATTAAGCCTCGGTTTCTGAGTAATGATCATAGTGTTATATTGTAACGTGTAAACTGCATTCATCAAAAATAAAAATGTGTAACGACTCTTTGGTCACAAATTTAAGAACACTAATTATGCATTCGTTGCCAAGTAAGCGATGCCAAGTAAGCATAAAATAGCGATATCTGACTGAAATGTAATTTAAAATCTGACTTTCCTGTGCGTTTCAACAAAATGGCGGTTTTTCACCACAAACGTGTAAATACTTTTCTTGATTAAATGTAAATAAAACAGGGTCAGAGAATTTAAGAATAGTTTTGGTACTATAAAACTGTATTATATTGTATATAAAATTGCTTATTTTTACAAGGAATCGTTATGAAATTGTAGTTATCCGATTCTTATATATCATTCCTAACTTTTAAATATGTGATATACAAAATATTTGAATTATTTTATTTAAAAATTATAGAAAACTTCATCATTTATTTAAGTATAATTTTTTTGAATTTCAATAGTTGTTTGATTATATTCAGATTATCCATAAAAGATGGACTTGATATCACTGTAGAAATAAACGATTGGATGGATTTATTGTGTCCGTACACAGTTACTCGTGATAGTATCTGGAGATCGAATGAAAGAGAATCATTTCTGCATTTGTATAACGTAACAAAGGAAGCTTACATGAACTGCGATACACGAGGTATGTAAACCTAAAAAACCCTGCCTTACTATATTACATTATACGTTTTGAAATTATCGACTATCTATAAACAAGGTTTTGTCGCGCCTCTGATAACACCCTACAAGCGAGAAAGTGTTATGTTAAGCTTTGAACCAAACCTGTTCAAAAGTTCAACAAGGCTTAACATTAATCTGCATGTACTGGATTTGATGTTATCTATTCATCAACGAATATAGCTACACTCAGAATGATGATAATAAAAAAAATTGTGACTAAATAAATTTCATAAAAAGATCATCATTTTTTTCTTATGTCTTTCATGCATAAAAATGTGTTGCAATCTTTGATCGCGTCTACCATATGTTTATTACGCTGTTAAAAGATTAGCATGAGATAGTAAATTGATAATTCCATCTTGTTTCTAAAGAAAAATTTTAATAAAATATAATTTTTCCCCAGATAAAACTCGTGTTGTTGAATAACAAAATTTTGGACCTTGTCCATGTTTTAACTTGAGGCAGTTTCGAATCTTGTTGACAGTGTCATGATATATTGATGAATAAACAGATTAAATATTCCGAACAATTACACCCAAAGTCTCGTGTCATATACGAAATCTGATAATCAGATATAAAAAAAAATTACAAATATTCGATGATGATTTTGTTTTGAGTACATTCAGATAAAAAATAAACTCGATCAAAATTATTACAGTGCTTTGATGACTTCTGATCCGATATCTGACGAATAACAAATTGTAATTCATTATATATATAATAACATATTTTAAACAAATATTTATGCACAATTCCATTTATTTTAAAATTTCAATTTAATATACAAATATTACAAAATACTTTGATAATCACTTCTATAATCATATATTGTTTAATTAAAATGAAGAAATTTTCATTCTAATATCTGTAAAATAAAACAAAACTAAAGCATATTACATTTTACCAACGTTATAAAACAATACTGAAGTTTCTAAAAGTTTCGTCGTATGGGCAAGATGTCAATAGATCTTGGAAGTTTCATTTACAATCTCATTCTACTGTCTTACCACATGAGTAATAAACTAATGATAGGCAATGCTGAATCAGAATGATTCTTCTCAATTCAAACTTATCTCTTTTTGTTTATCATTTTCAAACGATAAACTCTGTTGGCAACAATTCCGCAAAACAAAGGTTTGCAGTAGAGTCCACGTAGTTTTCCGTTACTTTTTGGCCGGTTCGTGGTTTTTCTCTGTAGTGAAGTGACAAATTAATGTTTTGATTTGCTGTTCAAAACGTCGCCATGTCTTACCGTCTTACGACGGTTTCTGTGAAAATATTAAATACCCTGGCCTGGATTTACATAAATCTAAGTTTTTTAGTTCTGTCATTTTCAAGGAACGGAAGAAGCTCTTACATTTTCCTAATTTTTTTTCAGCACCGAGAAAAAATTTTGTGACTCTGTATTAATTATATATATATATAAAAGGTGAATTCTCTTCCACATGATAGAAAAAGGCAAATTTTTGTAAATTTGTGAAGAATATCATATATACCACAAAATAAAATACACTGAAATCTCACAATTGATTTAGCATCATTAACTATCACAACAGCAACGGAACTAATTTGAGAGCGACCTGATAAGAGAATATCACATATTTCGCAAAATGCACCGATTCGTTATTGTTTATTCATTGATATTGTACTTTTGAAAATTACCAGGAAATCCTTATCCGTTTTGGTGCGTGTAATACCGATTATTTAAATTTCTCCTAATTTACATATAATAATTTTATTTGTTTCAACAAAAAATAACCTTATATCTAACCTAAGCGTGTAACACGATTGTTATGGTTTTTCTCTGAAGTTTTTGATAAACAAGCTTCATGGTTAATATTTGCAACGTTACTTTTTTACATAATATCGGATTTTTGCATTGTTTCATAATAAAAATGTGTGTATTTTGGGCACGATGGTAAATTGAAAAAATCAGATAATATATACATATATAATGGATGAAATGCATATTCACTGAAACCATGGAAAAATATGTCTTGGAATTGTAAAATCTAAAAATAGACATCGGCGCATTGCAGGCTTTTTGCAGAACGTCTCCCGCTTGGTATAATTTCCGTAATTTTCCGTAACTTTATGGTTTGGTCACGTGTCGATCTTGGTAGATTACAGTAAACAAACTTATGTTTATTTATCGCATTAAATTGATAGCAAACCGGGATCAATCAGGGATATGAAAACACAAAACTATGTTGCATTAGGTGTCGAGTTTATAAAACTTTTTTGGATCGGGTTTATGATTACAACAAAAAAAATTTTTTTTGCATGTTATTACATTATATTATTTATTCAATTCGAAAGATATAAACAGAAAGGTATACTATAGTCACACATATCGCCGTCTCTAACATTAATATGCCCAACAAGTCGACTTCGATTGATTGTTGATAAATAATTATTTAATTTTATTTTGGTTGAATTTATTTTGAAATCTTAGTAAACTTGGTTTTGCATTTCCAATTAAAAAATAGTCGGTAGTAATAAACATAACGACATATGTTTAATGTCGGTTTTCCAATTAATGAGAAGATCATCATACATATATACATAATTGTATATTTTTATGTGTATCTTGGTATTTTTATTTTTTTTTTATTTTTTATTAATGATTTATTTATTTGAAACATGTTTTCTGATAAAATCTCGTGTTTGCTGAAAATAGCTATGCAATGCAATTTAGTTCATTAAGTGTTTGCAATAAAAAAATAAAAAATCATCATAAATATATTTGATTCAAGTTTTAAATTCAGTTAGGAATCAATGCTTTAATACTTGAAAAACACAGCTATCATTAAAACATTTCATCACGAATGCAGCAGCATAGTAATATCTCATAACTCTTCAAAATCAAAGACGAAGGGAATCTTGCCATATGATGATGTAATAAACATCTATATCAAAATGTTTGAGCATGAGCTTTTCTCGTTCTTGCGTAGCGTGGATTACCCAGCGGCTCCTCAAACTTTTCGTGCGCGCAAAATTATCAGAGAAAAAAATCACTGATTTTACTTTGAAATACTAAAAAAATCACTCATATCCACTAAACTCGGTTCAGCAGATGAATAAACTGCAGCTAGAGAAATTGCAGCAAGAAGTGTCTACCTCTGCGAGAGTTTTGTAACGATAGAAACAGACATTAAGTAACAGAAGGTCAACGACATAGAAACCAAAATAAATTTATTGATTCATATACACACCTTTAAGCAAATAAACAATAATACATTTATAATTAATACAATATTTCAAATATTCAATCCTATATAAGATATGTTCAACACGATTCTGTTCATTTTTTGGACGCACTTAGCAGATACCCTTTGGGAATATAATAAAGAACATGTCACCTTTCAATCGTAGATATATATTTAGATCTCTCGAAATTGAATCGAAGCAGAAGTGTGATTTAACCAGACCACTGCTGGGCCTTGATTGCGAATGATTCTCCTTTCAAAATATCAGCAAAATATGAAAATTGTTTGTTAAATCAATCATAGTAGTTTAGTAAAAACTTGAAATAGCAATAACAAGGAAATTAAATAATATTTTATTCAAATGATACGGTTTCGCAATAACAATGTAAATAATTTCTGCGAAGTCAAAAGGTAGTATTTGGTGGTATTTCAGACTAATATGATAAACAAAAACAAGTCTAAAAATATACATGAAAGCTAGGATTGTAGCAAAAAGCCACAAAACCAAGCTTTATCGATAAATATCTTGTTTATAAAAACCGTAATATGTTAGGCAATCTTATGTAAAGTTCTCATTGTGCAGGCAAAAAATAAAAATTCAAATAGCATTCACTAATATGAGTAAAATTTTAACTTTAATCTAAGAATTCGGACATAACTTTTGATGCCAATTGACAAAAATGAAAAAAAACTTCCATACGACGTCCATTTTGTCATCAAAGCAAAGTACTTTACGCTAGCATATCCAGAAATATCACAAGAAAACATGCAAATTCTTTCTAATGAAACTAGAAATATTCATTAAAATGTAAAAAAATTGTCCGAAAAAATACGAGGCAATAGGAAATTATTCAATTTGTTAAATATATGTTTATTGTTAAAAAGAAACGTTACAGTATGAAAACGGTTGTAATTTGGCACGTATATGCCTTGCAGTGCATGGTAATATTATGTAGATGATTTTTTCATCTGTAATAACCCACTAGTCAAATTGTTTTTTCTTGTTTCAAATAATTTAAAAATGTTAAAAATAATATATTTTTATGTTATTATGTATTTACAGGCGGTATTCGCCTCCAATCATGTGACGATCCATATACAGAGAAGAAATTGACAACGAAATTTCAAGAACGAAGTCCATATCCGTTTGGATTTACATTCAGACCTGGAGCCACATATTATTATATTTGTGAGTGTCGAAAATTGTTGAAAGCAGAATAATTTTATGTTTATTTAGCCTTTTTTAAATATAACAACAACGAAAAATTTCTGGTAATTGGAATTTTTTAAATAATGGAGAATAACACGTTAATGGTGTCTTATTGTTTTGGGGATTTACCCAAATCTTCCTAGTTTTCAGAAGTGAAGAGGTCACTAATAAATATGAATTGTAACAATAGTCTCAGCATTTAAATCCTTCACAAACAATTAATTTTCAAAAAATAAAATATTGATTTTCCGATTGATTGAATATTGAATTTGACGGATATAAACAAAGATTGAGACGTTCATACTTTTTTTCCTCATTTTTTGTATTTTGTGAAAATGACAACGGCGACAAATAGAAAAAACGTTATACAAGACATGTTGCTCATTTCACCTATCCCGATTACACAAAGCAAACCGTACTCACTTCACTTTACTTATCAAATTTTAAAATATTCAAGAGTAGACAAAGGTGTGGTTAATAAAATGTAAACATTGATTCCAAACTTTTATATCAGATAAAGACAATTGAACTCATCAAATTATCGGTGTTCAAATACTTGAAATACTCACTCAAGATATCGGTTGTATTTATTTTTGTTTATTTAATTACATTCTTGAATATAGAATATTTCCTTGCATATGAAATACCGGAATAGGGTGGGTATGTTTAGTTATACACTTAAGATTAAATAGTATCATTGCATTGGTTATAAAGTCGATATTGACACGTGACCTGAGGTTCACTCAGAAAAAGTTTGAACTGGGATATATTAAAACTCATATGTTGCTTCCAAACGTGGAAAACTTTATCCTAAGATAAAATACCTAAAATATTTCAAAGAAAATGTATTTATTCTGAATTGAATAGTAGGATTTGTCCAATATTATCCGTTCTAAAACCTCAAGGAAAAACAAAGATATATTGGCGCAAATATAGCCATTGCCAAAATGATTAATATGATTGCACGATTGTTGATCCCTCAAACTCTTACTAAAATATAATATTTGAAAAAATTGTCAGCCGTGGAACTAAAGTAAATCAGCAATATGTTCAAATTTATCTACAGAACGCTTTGAGAATATACTGTATAAAATTTCATATACTAAACCATTATAAGAAATTAACTTTTGTGTGAAATTGCACGAAATAAAAAGAATTAGTATAGTACTTGTGCAAAGGGCGTGAAGTGAAGATGGATTGACGAACATTTTATTTACGTTGGTAAATCTGTTTTCGCTATTCAAGTGTTTACTTTACAATTAACGATAGACAGAAATCTTCGTTCTCAAAAGTGTGATTTATTTTATACTCGTTTATAATAAATTTTTAAGTGTTTGTTCTCCTCTTATTCTCTAGTTGAAATTGCTTGTAATGAATTGATCTAGTATACGTATGGTCCAGGGATTATTTACCCCTTTACGGGATAATCATACTTGACACAAACTCCACTAAACAAGTAAAGAATTTATGTTTTTTTTTGTCGTAGAACTCTTTCATTTCATGATTTGTTTAAGCTGGGGTGCTGCAATCTATTTTGAACAGTGAATATATTTGTGATTTCTGCAATACAAAACAATTCTCTATACAAAAAAAAAAACTAAAAGAGAAATTCATTGTGAGAGCTCAAGGCCTTTGATTACCCAGTTTCGCAAGTATCAGGCATGAGAAATTTAATATTCAAAAACGCAATCTTGATTAAGTTTGTTTGTTTGCATTTCCTGCTATCTTGTGCAACTGATGATTAAATTTGAAAATGAATACACAAAATACATAAATGATAGCTCATATAATTTGAATAAAAGCTTTCGTGGTGAACTGTTTAGTTCATATTTTTATTGGATGTATATATATATATCTCGATGAATGTGCAATCATCATGTTTTACTAGACCGCTAACATATAAATAATTGTTAAAGTTTATTTACATTCGAATATTGCCAAAATTATCAGATTTTCGGGTAAGGTTTCACCTTAGGCAACACGCTATAAAAGCCTTATTATGGCATTAGAGAAGAATTCAAATTCTTAGTCCTGGTTTTAATGTTTTTTTTTATTAATATTACAGCTAAACCGCTCTACGACAGCAGCATTGGATGTACTCAAGATACGTTAAAAATGAGAGTAAACGTAAATAGAAAAGGAACAGGTGAGTTACAACCAGAGACATGTTCATGTAATGATTTCATCGTTGTTGTTGCTCTTGGGGAAAATCGGTGTCTCGGCGTCAGGCAATGCGTATTTTGAATCAAAAGTTTTGTGTTTTAATATATATATATAGACTCTAGGTCTTGCATCTGGAACAATACTTCCAACTTATGATCGGGTTCGGCGAAAGACTTTTTGGTCAGATTTTGGAATTCATATATATATATGCGAGACCCAAAAAATTAATAATAAATACAAAATGCTATAAAACATAAGCGCTTAGCACAGTGGTTCCCAAACTGGGGTCCGCGGACTTTTTGGGGTCCGCGAAGCACTTGCCGAGGGTCCGCGAAGGAAATCTGTAATATGGGTCATATCTATGGGTTATACAAAAATCAAGTTCTTAAATTTGCAAATATACATTTTTCTCTATTTGCTTCTATGCAATCACTGCTATAGACACTGCCCCATTGTGATGTCACAGAGCTGTGTGCTGTGATATAGAAGAGAGAGTCGAATTGCTGTCATTACATGTAAACTAACTGCAGGGATGTAGCTGACGATGCTTTTTGCATGTTTGTTGGTACAGGGTGGAGTTACAGTAGGCAGCTTACGAAGTTATGCTAGTACGCATCTGAATGCTGTTTTATAATTTTCATTTGAAAGGTATTTCAGATAGATAGCCTGAAATTGTAGGTAAGTAGAGCATAGCGAAAAACGGCAGGCCTATATTTTTACGTGTTCAGCTTTGTAATATCAAGTTCGAGATGCCGCCTAAAAAGAGATTGAGCTACGACGAATCTTTTGTGAAGTTCGGGTTTATCGTGATAAGCGCAGGCGGAGAAGAGAAACCGCAGTGCGTTTTGTGCCATAAAGTGTTGGCATGCTCTTCACTGCAGTCTTGCAAACTGAAGAGACACTTGGAAACGCATCATCCAAATTCAAAGGACAAAGATGCAGACTTCTTCAAACGTCATGGTCAAATTTTACAAAATTCTAGATTTGATAGCATGGGAAAGTTTTTTAAGGAAAATACAGCTGCTTTAAAAGCCTCCTATGAAGTTTCGAGAGAAATAGCCATTGCCAAAAAGCCCCACAACATCGGCGAACAGTTGATCCTGCCATGCTGCAAAATTATTATGTCGAATTTGATGAGTGAGTCTGAAGTTGATAAACTGAACCAAGTATCCCTGTAAAATGATACTGTAAGTCGGCGAATTGCTGAACTTTCGAATAACATACTGTCACAAGTAGTCACAAAGATACAAAATTCAAAGTTCAACTTTTTCGCAATCCAACTTGACGAAACAACAGATGTCGCTAATCTAGCTCAACTTTGCGTATATGCCCGTTACATTCATGAAGAAAATTTGGAGGATGAGTTTTTGTTTTGCGAAATCCTTGACACAAAAACAACGGCAAAACACATATTTCGCAAGGTTGATGAATTTTTTGGGGAACATAATATCCAATGGAAAAACCTTGTCGGCGTGTGCACCGATGGAGCTCCAGCGATGCTTGGTTGTCGCTCTGGTTTTCAAACTTTGGTAAAAGAAAAGTCCCCGGACGTCGTTGGTATTCATTGCACTATTCACCGCCAAGCGTTAATGGTTAAAACAATGCCGTATGAATTATCACATGTTCTTGACAATGTTATCAAAGCAGTGAATTTTATAAAAGCAAATGCACTTAATTCGCGTCTTTTTGCGGATTTGTGCAAAGAAAGCGATTCAGTGTTCGAGAAGCTTTTGTTGCATACTCGTGTAAGATGGCTTTCGAAGGGGAAAATGCTGAAAAGAGTTTTTCTTTTGCGAAAGGAAATACACGAATTTCTACGTGACGTAAAACCAGAAATGAATAAAAACTTTTCTGATGATCGTTTTTTGATGTTCCTGTCGTTTTTGGTCGACATTTTTGAATCTGTTAACTCTGTCAACCTGGCACTGCAAGGTAAAGACGTAAACGTGATCCACTGCCATGAAAAGTTGACGGCTTTTAATATGAAACTCTCACTGTGGCATTCTAAATTAGACAAAAAACGCTTGCTCCTTTTCCACATCTTAATGGATATTTGGATGAGAATGAACTTCAAATAAGCGACGATATAATCGAAGTTATGAAGTCCCACGTTTCAATTCTCAGTGAAGAAATTACACATTATTTTCCGGATTTACAGAACTTTGAAAAAGTTGATCGTTTCATCAACGCTCCATTTGGACTCAAATTGGACGATTTACCTTCTACAAACAATCAGATTCAAGAACAGTTTATTGATATGATTAATGATGGGAGTGCAAAAAATCTTCACCGTGTAATGTGTTGCAGTGACTTTGGGATAGCAATGACGCAGGCTTATCCAGATCTTGCAAAAATGGCTTTGAAAGTGCTCATTCCCTTTGCCACAACCTACGAGTGCGAGGCAGCTTTTTCCACTCTACTCCATATCAAAACAAAATACCGAAACAGACTGGATGTCACGCATGATATGAGAGTTGCGCTTTCCGAAACCCAACCCAAAATAGATGAAATAATTTCAACAAAACAAGTGCACCCATCTCATTAAACTTCTTATCAGAATTTTTGTTCGTTTTTAAGGTTTTTTACTGTACGGAGCATTGATTTTTTAATGTTTATTGCACAGGGCCGGGAGTCGTTGAAAAAATTGCATGGGGTCCGTTTTGAATTTTTTTTGAAAAAGTTTGGGAACCACTGGCTTAGCACAATCGCTAATAGCGTCTTTTTCCTGATGACTGTAGAAATCTTAAATAAAAATTCTACTAGGCAATTAATTCTAATCGGGTTTGGAATACGATTGAGTTTTTATTGAGCAACCAAGAATAGTTTACCATTCTATTCATTTGAAATCAAATATTCAGGACATATACTTTTTATTTAACTTTCGGATTAAAATTATATCTAAGTACTGATTCCAGGAAATGCATTAAAATACCAATACCTTCAAATAAATTATTAAAGTACATTAATAATCTCTCCTTTCATTTTCAGGATCAACAAGAAGAAACAATGAAAATAAGAAAACATATCACATAATGCCGTCATCAGAAGAAAGTGCAACAATTCCTGGAAATGTTGAAGATATATCAGGTGAAATAGTCACTAAGGCAATTAAGATTATATAGTTTTGCTAGAGAACAGTGAAAATGTTGAATGAAACTCGTTTAATTAAGCAGTTTGATGAATGACTGCTATTTAGAGCGAAGAGAGATTCTATTCTCTTATTAGAGAGTATTGATATAATTTCAAGTATTTCACACGGAAGATACTTAATAGGTGTTATCCTGTTTCAGACATTAGTCACAATTTCTCACTTTAGGATTGAGTTTGTGGGCCGAGTTTGACAAATAGTTTCGTTGAGCAGGGATCTAGTCCGTGTTCTTCAACGTGTGGTGTGGTGTCAATCATTAGTGTGTTACTACCATATTCAACAAATATATATACGTCTTCAATAGAATATGTTCGACGTGAATGCATATATATATATAAAGGTCGCTAAGTATTTTTTTTTAAATTTTCATCTTAGGGGATCAAAGGAGGAAAGAGAAACGCCACCACCATCACACAAGATTTCAGAGCCAAACAACGACGCCCGCTCCCAAAATTGCTATCAGAATTGTGACGTCACAACGGGAGGCCGTATCGGGTTCGGTCCGCTCAGATGGATCAGAAAATTATGGTTATTCAGCAACACGCTCAACAAGAACAACGAACTACATGTTGCTCGCGATAGTAGTATGCTGCACATACTTACATACTTTCTTTGATAAATGTGGATCAAATTTATAGTTAATACTGATGATTGGAGATTTATCAATGTTAATATGGTCGACTGTACCATATTATTGACGAATATGGTCAAAACGCATCGAGGTAAAGCTTAAACGCCGGAATGCCTTCTATTGCTTTTCTAGCCTAAACTCGGTGACAAAGCGCATGTCGGAAGATGCCCTCAATATTGACAAAAGTCTGTTCCATGAAAATGTGGTAATACTGGCTTAGAATAGAGTATATCAAGAATCATTGCCAATCGAACAAAATTCCACAGAATTGAGATTTTGCCAAGTTTGCGATAGATTATAGCTGCCTGCGCTAGTAATAAGTGGAATACATTTGTTGTTACAAACTCTTAACTCTATTTAGTTCAAGTCACCACTCGCCCCAGGTCACATGTATAGAGACCGTGGTATGAGATATAAAAAAATCTATTGTGATTGAGTATGCAGTAGATATTAAGTCCGCTAAAAACATGTCTGTAGAATTACCATGCAGACTTCATTTTCTAGTTGAGAAGCAAGGCGAATAAAGGTTGCAATCCAATGGGACTAATTACCGAAAAAAACTCTTACCCTTCTTAATAATTTTTGACAATCTCTACAATTGATTTTCTGTCCAATTCAATTTTCTAATAAGTCAATTAGGTTTTATTTCTCAAATTCCCATATATTTTTTGAGTAAATCAATATACTCCAACAAAATTGTTATTGAAGATCGTTTTCACAAAGTTTTATAAAATGTTTTAAGCTGATTTTGTAAGGTACGAGCGAGCCAAACGTTCTGTATGTTGTCATTCACCGTAGTAAGTCATTTCTATATTATTCCTAATTACTTTTAATATTTAAGTTTGTGCTGTTGTTTATTTTTTCCCCCGCTTACGTTGGCGAAGTTACTTCTTGAATTTAGACAGCATTTTATTCCCTTTGTTATTTTTCGTGTGGTTGCGTTTACGAAATAAACTGTTACATGTGTCAAATCGTGTTCCGCTATATTTTAAACGTAGTAGAAAAATCCAAATCTCTTTATGCAAAATAAATAAATGGAAGTCTTACTTTAGCTAAATGATAACAACCGTATATTGTCCATCTGTATCCTTGCTTTTGGAAAAATGCTGAACGCGTCAATGCACAAACAATTAGCTGTCTGTCATTAATTTGCAATCAGACACGACATCAACAACTGAAGTATAAATATTTTTGCACTCTCGCCAGAACAATATTTTGAATTAGAACAAAAAAAATGTGGGAACAATGAATATATATATCTGGAATGTGTATAGGTTCATAGTTGATTAAGATTTGTCCGGTTGCAATGAAGGAATATACATGGAGGTCACAAGGCATGAGAGATCATTTATCATAGTGAACTCGAAGGTCGCATTTCAGCCACCGTAAATTAGCGACCCGGAAGGTAAATAAATGGACAATGAGTCACAAAGCAACGAAGACAACACGTACCAAAGTATATTATTATCGAGTGTTACAAACAATCATTTGGAATATTAGTAAGAGTTACATCAGTCAGGTTTTTCATGAGGTAACGATTTAAAGAAATTGCTTTTGAAACTGAAAGTGAATTTTGAAACACATAGCGAAGTCACATTACGCGAGGTCAAAGTAGGTCGTGTTTGAAAATTGTTTGCATGTCGAATATTTTTCTCCGGTTACCTACTACAATAAAATCAGAAATTTAAAATGTCCTACTGGGACAATATCATAAAACAAGAGAGCTATGCTCAAATGTATGAACATGTAGCACCACCACATAATTTTGATGACGTCATAGCAAAAATAAAAGTAATAGCCTTCTGGAGAAAAATTCCATCTTTAACCACTGAATATTTCAAAGCAATTGGTCCAGTAATCAAAGAGAAGAGCGATTTCTTTAAAACGTGTCAAAGAGCAACAAGAACAACATAACAACAAAGCGGTCGTTATGTCCACTACGTTTCCAATAAAACAGCACAAATTGACTTAGCGACTTAACAAATATCAACAACAACGAAAACAGACGTGCTCACCACAAAAACGTTACCCGACTCTCCTCCGATCCGAGATAAAGCTTGCCACAAGATAACTCCGCGCATCTTTACATCCCGAGAAACCAATTAAAAGCGATTATTACACCTCATCAAAACATCATATAATTGAAAAAAGTTGAGAAAAATACCATGGAAATTACTATCACATGAGTACACACATTCAGCTTCAGTGACCAAAGTGGATCGTAATGGTAACTGGAACTTGTTTTGTACCTATAGAAGAGCTACATCAACAGATCATGGATACTCTTTTGTTTGTACAAATAGAATATTAGTTCATCGAAAAATAGAAGGGTTGGTGCCTTCAAAGGAATAACCACTAATTTTGGCGCTTCAGAAGTGTGTGTACCAATATGAAATAACTAGTTTTGTTCACCTACTTTACATCAAGTTTTGTGAAGGGACTGAAACCAATAGACAGGGAGTATAATTCACTTGGCTAACACAGACAGTCGCCTACCCTTATATTATCACTATTATTGCAGCTCATTCCAATTATATGTTCAACGTTTCATATTCATCTCGACCCAATTGATATATGTACTCAATTTATATATGATGCTTGAATCAAATTTAGTTTACCCACAATCATTATGCTTCAAATCAGTTTCTTGTCAAAATATACTATTATACTATTTTGAACGCTATAGATTTACTTTACCGTTATTCTGTAATAATTTAAGTAGCACGTTAGCAAAGATAAAATTGCAATTTAATTATTGGTATAAATTTTATGACACATTTTTGGGTACTCACAAAGTATGTGAACCAAGATGGCGTACACCGGAACGTAGTATGTGTACCAGGTTAGGGTTAGGCCATAATTTTATTCCATTTTATTTTTATTTTAGTTCTATTACGAGTTTGGGGACTAGCCAAGTGACTCCCGTAGTAGTTGTACTTAAATTATGTCCTAACCCTAACCTGGTACATATACTACGTTTCAGTGAGCGCCATCTTGGTTCACATACTTTGAGAGTACCCATTCATGTGCTCAATGTTACATGTAGTAGCCGATGCTGTCAAAGATAAAGTCTAGGTGACAGGAGGAATGGATAAAGCTACCTTGTATATGAATAATCCAGTAAAGATAATGAATTATTGAATTTCTAATTCATTTGCGAATCTCCTTGTTGCTTCAAAAAATTAGGAATGCTTGTTCAATTTTGCCATACATTATCTGAAGTATAATATCGATTCAGAAGTAGAAAACATCTTATACTTTATCAGCTACATGGTACTAATAAGGAATGTCAGGGCAGTAAGTGTTTTATACTTGTTCTTATTGGGCGGTAGGAAGAAGTGTAGAAAGCAACATTTGATTGCCTCGCACTTGCACTAACTTTTCTGCATACTAGAGAAATCATTACTAATAAGAAAATGAAATGAAATATTGATGCAATAGAATATATTGTAAGGAAAATCAAGAGTTTCGAAATATAAGATCAATAAAGATTACACAGTCAAACAGAATGAAATAATTGATCATTTCAACATTATTTTCTTCATAATTCTACTTGCAATTCGTCGTTATCAAAGACTTGTCAAAAATATGTTAAACTTAATCCTAAATATTTTCAATTTAAACCACAAGAATTCCGACCATAACAGAGTAGAATTGAATCCATCGTTTGAGCTTATAAATAATTTCATTGAATTCATAATGATGAATAAAACACGTTTCTTTGAAAACGTAAAATGAAATTAAAATTCACACAAGCAATAAATTAATCGATCATTCCAACTCAAAAAATACTATATTTAAAATATGATACAATATTGTAACATTGAGAACGATATGGAAGAATGAGATTTACATTGCATCACCTCAATCATGCTTTGTACGTATTCACTCAGCTCCGCCTGAATTACCGAGAGTCAGACCGTTTTAAGGTTTAAGTCAAATGATATTCAAACAGTTTGTTTGTCCAGAAAAGTTTTGTCATGCAACGTTGACTGTGACAACATCCTTCATTAATTAACTTTCAAAAAATTTCAAATAGGGATTTCAACGTTTCTGACTCAAAAATGGGGTCAGACTAATGAACATTGTGAAGGCCAAGAAAAGTTTCAACAGCTTGCATTGCTAAAAAGTTTTATGTTCTGTAACCGATTACAGTGAAAAATAAATATGAAGATTTGTGTTCACTCGGAAAGGAATACCAGTTAGACAAACATAAAAAGGTTATTCTACTTTGGAAGAGCTTCCTTCTCAAATGATGTAGTAATGATAAATAATAATTGTTGAACAATCATAGTTTGGTTAATATAGGCTACTCCGATTTTATCGCTTCAATAAGTCTTGTTGCGCCATCTGTCGGTCAGTTAATGCAACCCGGTCGCAATGAATGCAAAGGGGATGATAACAAATCAAAGTTTAAATCGCTGACGTATTATAAATACTATGAGCGATGTATAATACTTGAAATATCAAAATATTTCGAATAGGGAAATATGGCTCTATATCTCTTCGTGACAAAATAGTATTTACAGAGCATTTAAAATACCTCTCCGGCTATTCTCGATGTTGACAATCTCTTCATATGTCTTAATGACATGTTTACAAAATAGTTTTTACAGAAAGACCAATTCAAATTTGTTTCTTTCGTACATAACCAAATTCGTTATCCAACAGTAAGTGCATTTTCTCTATTGAAACCAAACTTTCTTTCTGCAAAACTGGATTTGAAGTCTAAATATATTCTAACAACAGCTGATAACTGTAACATTGAATATAAGAGTAGAGTGATTTGAATTCCTATTCAAATGTATTTGAGTCTGAGAACTTCCTTGGGGAACACTGAACTACTGACGCAGTGCTACGTCTGTTAAAACTTCTATTTTCTCAAAGCAATTCTGTATTTGAATAATACCATTCATGTTTTTCAGGTTATCACGTGTTCACAGGTTATCTTAACGCCCTGCAGAACACGAAAAACATAAATTCAACGCCCAGTTGTGGAATTCAACATGTTAATAATAGGTTTTCAATTGCATCGTGCTTACTAACAACAGGCTCTTGATTTCAGAAAACTATGCCGAATTTATAGCCCTATAAACGATGCATCATATTTACTATTATGTGTGTCAATCACGTAAGCTACGTTAGCTTTCTCAAGGACATAAATTAGTAAATATGACGCAAACATGATACGATTTACATAAATCTAAAACAGGGTGTTTCAAGGTTGCAAAATTGAAGTAGAGAGTAGAGAGGCCTTGCGGGCAACAGTCGGGAAAACCCAAAAGGGATCAAAATACCGCGAGCTTACTTTCTTTAGATATTGTAGCGTACCGGTAGTCTATGCAATAATTATCCAAGTTCAGAATATCTTCCAATATGGTCTGACGTCAAGTTTCCTCTCAATATTCACTCCAATTTATGCTATTTTGTTCAATTTATTAATTATCCTCCAATGAAACGGTTAATACAACCAAACACTCCGAAGAAACGGAAAGCACACAACAAAAATAACAATACCAAGCAGTAAAATGTAAGAAAGCAATATACACCATAAAAACACTGACGTCCCCTGAACTAGCTACTACAATTTGCAAAATAGGCTGAAAATAACCTATGGCAGGCATTTTAAAAGACTATAAACAATTTTATATGTGCACAATATTTGAACAGTATTGATGATAGCTAATTTAATGATGAAACTGAAAATACAACACCAAATGAACTACAATGGCACTACACGCAAGCAGCAACAGGGTTCCAACATTAGCTTACTGTCCAGTACAAAAACATCCAATCAATCTCAATCCAACAGTCACAAAACCACAAACAAACATCCCCGATAACCCACCGGAGACCATAGGCACTACCACAGATACAAAACACACAAAATCCAACCGTAAACAACCACACTCAGACAACTGCACCCTGCCAACCACAGCACACGCTAACAGGCCACACCCAAAAGACAGTGTCACAGCGCTCCCGGTGTTTCAGCGCCAAAATACCAAATATGGAAACAATATTAAATGACATCATTTAACAGATAAAAAAACGGTCGTCACAATATCTTAAAAAATGAGACCCTTCTAAGCAGCCTATTGTTATTGTTATGTTGCATGGGTGGAGTTTTTTTTTAAATTTTAATGAAGATGTATAAAGCACAAACAGAATATCAAACCAAATTATTGCTTCTTGCTTTTGGGTACTGCTTCAGTGTCAACAATAATTTTCTGTTCCTTTTCTTTGATGTTGTAAT